TCTGACACCGACGTGGACATTATTCTGACAACAAACTGTTTTCGAAATTTGATCTCATCTGGGCACACTACCGTATCCTAATGCAATACGATGTAATCCAAAACTGCAATTGCCACCACACATTGACTGGATTCTGTAAGGAGCGATCGTGCTCAAACCAAATCGCGACACTAGGTATCATCGTTGAACAATCAGTTGAGTGGAACTCGCCACTATACATCAATTACGAGAAGGCGGTTCACGGTGCGGATAAAAAGACTCTATGGAAACTGTTACTGGAGAACTGAAGACATCTGGCTGATTATGAAGTAAGTAGCTAAAAAGACCATCAACATCCGTAATTCGTACGACAGTTTACAGTGCACAATCGTGAACGGAGGATGGCTGACAGATGCATTCCAAGTGAGGACCGGTGTCAGACAACCCCGTTTACTATCGTTTTTTATCTTTACTCAAGTAATAGTAAAAATAATTCGTTCTCAAATGACAGTTTGTTACAAGAGGCATGTCATTTTACAGGCAAAATGAAAATGTTAGAAAAGATACAGTTTTCACCGTGATAAATTACTCAGCTGGGTTGATATTTTATAAGACATAAATGTAGATGGTTTTAGTAAGAATCGTATTGCCAGTATCGCAGTTGGCGCGCTTTACTGGATTATGAAGACCTTATCTGAGGGAAAACAGAGATTATACTTGGCAGTTCAGATGCGACTAGACGATTTGAACTTAGCAGGTGACCTAATTTTTCCAATCCACACACACTAACAAATACAGCCATCGTAGAAGCAGCCTCTGCAACAGAAGGCATCAACATTCCTAATTGAGTAGTATGATTTAAAATAACAACACAAAAACACCTACTCAATCACATCTGATGGATAAGCTCTGGAAGGGGTAGAAAGGTTTATGCACTTGGACAGCATCATCGGTTAACAAGAGGTTTCAACTCTGAGTCGACGGCACAGATTGGCAAAGCAAGGAAAGTATTCACACAGTTGAAGAACATACGGAACTTAAAACATCTGTCTACAAGTCAAGATCAAAGTCGAAATCTTCAATAAGAACGTAAATCATTTTTATTGCACTGAGCTGAAACGTGGAGAACTACCACAACCTGTATCAATAAAGTACATGTATTTATAAAAATCTACCTACGTAGGACACTCCAGATCCATCAACAACAAACTGTTATGTCAGAGAACGACTTGGCACTGATTTGAAAAGAAAATCAAGAAAAAACCCATAATAATTATCAAGCCCCATCACTGTCATAACTTGTAGCTTGAGTGCCCTGTTGATGGATAAGTAATGATACCGCCAATTAAGAAGCAGTGAATTATCGACAGCACCAATGACGTATAAAACCCGTACGACCAGTCCAGCTTTCCGCCTAGCCCAGCCAGCTGAGTCCAGAACACCAATCTCAGCCTCTGCAATATGAATCATGTATTTCAAATATACTCTGTTTATATACCAATCAAACAGATCACACTGTACCATAAAATAGGGAACAACATTTGTCTGTGAGTATGGGAGGCGGTGACTAGTAGACAGGGCATAATTCAAGACTGATAAAACGCATAACAATGGCTCATAGGTCAAAATAAAGTTTATAATAAGAGGAATATGAATAGTTTAGTTAATTTTAAATTATACGACAAAAATATACGTTACGTATTGGTTCACAAACGGATCCCAACGTTACCATTCAGTATGCATATCGAAACATAACAATCACAATGCTGACCCTAACACTACTTTATACACTAATATATGACTTTAAGTCAACTCGCAGTAAACCATTCATTTTCTTATCATCGTTCGGCAGGTTCTAGAACACAGGAATATTTATCGGCGTCCGACAATGGTGGTCTTCCTTGAAGAGCGGTAACACTAAAAGCAACAAAACCAAGGTCCGAAGGCGAAGTCGTACTGCTGACTGTACAGAGGTGTGACAGCAGTAAGGTGTTTACTTCAGACAACCAGCATAACAGCGATGCTGCCTTCCCACAAGGAGGGGTGGGGTTAGGAAAGGTCGACCCTAAAAACGGACGCCTCGCCTTATCCCACGGATATCCGTCTCCGGCGGTAAGGACTCAACAAGTACGGAGCTAACACAAAAATCACTCATAAAAAGGTCGTGTGTGACCGACCTCAAGCAGCTGTCCCTTGGGCACTGCCGTCACGCTCTCAGGTCACTATGACCACCTCTAACCCAATTTCCTTTTCAGGTACCTCCGGCAAAACCCTTCCACGGTGTGGGCATCCGGGAAGTGATAACCGCCCTCATAACTCTAGCAGCACTCAAGACCACTGTATTCATAGTCAACCTCCCTCTTTAATTCCTATTATTCCTCCTACATCGACTTTCAAATCTAAACTTCCTCTTTTGGCTTCCTCCTCAAGTGTCAACACAGTCAATGATTCTATTGCGCAAAACACTGTCCCACGTCTACTGAAACCTCGCTCCAAACTATACATTTGAGCCTTCAACGTACGCACACTATGCCAAATCGGTCAGCAGGCATCCTTGGCTAAAACCCTAGAATATCGTACGATTGATGTGTGCTGTGTCTCCGAAACACGCATACAGGATCCTAGCGTAGTCATTCACTTGACCTAACCTCGGCAAAACGGAGAGCCGACGAGATACACCCTCCGTGTATCTGGCGACCCGATGGCCAGTTCTCGTGGACTTGCAGGTGTAGGCATAGCACTTAGCATGAGGGCAGAACAAGCGCTATTAAAGTGGATCCCTGTAAACAGTCGTCTATGCGCTGTTCGGCTAAACGGCTCCGTAAGAACTCGAAAGGATAGGAACACATGTCGTTGCCTTTTCGTCGTTTCTGCCTAGGCTCCCACTGACTGCAGTTCGGATGAAGTGAAAGATGAATTTTACAGAAAGCTGTCTGAACTTCTTCAGAAAGCTAAACGTTCAGACATAGTACTCGTAGCAGGCGACTTCAATGCCCAGGTAGGTAGCTTAAACGAAATAGAAAGACATTTAGGTGGGTATTTTAGTATTCCGGCACAGAGAACAGATAATGATGATCGTCTGCTGCAACTGTGCTCAGACAACCGTTTATTTCTAGCAAACACAAATTTTAAGCATAAGGAGAGACATCGTCTAACATGGCGACCTTCTGCACCAAACCAACGATGGACTCAAATAGACCATATTGCTATCAGTCATCGTTGGAGAGGGTCAATAGAAGATTGTCGCTCATTCTGGAGTACCTGTTTGGACTCCGACCATACCCTAATACGAGCACGCATCTGCTTGCGCCTCACTGGACGCAAAAAAGCCACATTAAAAAGACCCATTAGAACTGAACTGAGTAACGAGAAAACCAAAAGTAGGTTCCAAGAACAACTGAGGTCATACTTAGGTAGTTCTGAAAACAAGGCTGACCCAGATGTTGCTTGGAAAGAAATACAATCAGCTGTGGAAACAGCAGTGACATCAATCAGTAATTTAAACAACAGGGTTACAAAGAACCAATGGATTTCTTCAAGGTCTATTGCAATGATAGATTCTCGTAATTTCATCCCATCAGGTTCTAAACACGATGAAGAGCGTAAAGAAACCAGATCTAGGTTAAGCAAAAGTCTAAGGAATGATCGTGAGCAGTGGTGGGCAACGAAAGCAAAAGAGATGGAAAAGGCGGCGGCTATAGGGAACACAAGACAACTCTACAGACTAATAAAAGAAACTGGAATTAATAAATCAAGTGTAAGTCAGACTATTTCGGAAAAAGACGACACTCTCATCTGCTCCCAGTCCAGACGCTTAGAACGATGGGCGGAACACTTTAAGGAGCAGTTTAGCTGGCCTTCAGCTACTCTACAACTACCGTCTATTCCCAGACAGTAAGAATGGAACATTGAAGTAGGTCCCCCAACTCTAACTGAAGTTCAAAAGGCTATAGCTAATCTGAAACGAGGAAGGGCATCTGGTCCAGATGAATTGGCCTCAGAGGTCTTTAAAGATGGTGATCTAGTTTTAGCGATTAGGTTGACTAATATTTTAGCTAAAATGTGGGAGTTAGACGTCATCCGATCTAACTGGTCACAATCACTTATCGTCCCAATATTTAAGAAAAAGTCGAAATCATCCTGTGACAACCATAGAGGGATTAGTTTAACTAATATAATATCTAAAATACTAGCTTCGATAATTTTCGGACGCCTAACTAAGACTCGTGAGCAGCAAACACGTGAAAATCAGGCTGGCTTCAGACTTGGTCGTGGATGCATCGACCACATATTCACCGTTCGTCAGGTTCTGGAACACAGGCATACTTGTCGGCGTCCGACAATGGTGGTCTTCCTTGACTTAAAAGCAGCGTTTGACTCTGTTGACCGAGAGGTTCTGTGGCAGTGTCTGTCATTGAAAGGCGTACCTCGAAAGTACATAAACCTTGTGAAGGCTCTTTACTCGAACACTACTAGTCGAGTCATACGCTTTTGCAACCTCAAGTGGTGTCCGTCAAGACTGTCCACTATATCCATTTCTGTTTTATTTCATCATAGATATACTGCTGAAAATAACGTCCTCAGCGACCGAATTTTCACGAATTGACTTCCGTCCAGAAGGTCCACTTATCGACTTGGAATACGCAGATGACATAGTTCTGTTTGGTGAAGACGTTGTGGGATGTAAGGTAAGACTGGCGTCCAAGTTAATCACAACCATTTAGTTAAGGCTTCAAATATCATGCAACCCGATAGCTTGAGATGTCATCAAAAATTGTTCAGAATAAAGACATTGTAACAATCCCACCATAGTTTCTTACCTTTTCACAAGAGTAAGCTCCCATTGTGACAGAAAAGATCTTTCACGCTTACACTTCCACTCGGAATGCTTCTTTGTAGAATACTACTTTTTCTCATTTATTTCTTGATTATGTGGTCTCCCGCTTTCTATTTTCCTCGGTATTATCTACCCATTCTGAGTTACTTGACCTTCTGCTTCGTTTTTGGAGTTTGTGTTATCAATGGAATTAAATGTAGGTGTACTTTTTGTCGTGCTGATAGTTACATTTAGGGTCCTAGAAATATGTCTATGAATCCAGTGTTCATCTTGCTGTGCTAATGTGGTATAGCAACTTGGGCCGATGCACATATGTGCCTGGTCCTACGTTGTAGCCGACTGACTGATTGACCTAGAAATATGAAATTTTTTTAGGACATTTCAACAGAACACAAACAAAAACTAAACGGGATGATATCTGTCAGATTTCTTTTGTATGTAGTTATTGTAATCAGTTGACTGTAATTTGTTTGATTTTTTGTGTAGCGGAAAACTCATTTAGTGATCTCAATTTACTTTTAAAATCTAGATTCGTCCAAGCAAACAACAACTTATCCTGGACGTACCAAAACCTTTTGAATTACCAGATGGTACCCCATCTTTCAAAGACTATTCAGGATGTCGTGAAAATAGATATATAAATCCAGACAAAGCGAGTAAAAATAGGATATATCCGCCATCACATACTCTGCATTATTGGAATTGTCCTCCGAATTATACCCCAGAGGAACTGCGCAAGTTGATTGTTGAATGTGGCGCTTCACCACCTCGGTATGTAGTGTTGTTTCTCAATGTTTACTTTCGATATTTGTAAACACCATACCACTGCTTCTTACTTTTATCACATTGTTATCTAATTGCATGACTAACATTTTTTTCAACATGATAGTCATAAGTGGTAATAAATTGTTTTTATATAACGCCTTAAGACAACAAAACCTAATCAGTCGGAATTACTCATCACACTTCTGTTCAATTTCACAGAGAAATTTAAACAGTTGAAACATAGCATTGATAATAATACTTTCCGTCCATTAATTGTGCCATGCAAATTTCAGTGCACGTAAATGCTGTGTTTGCCATCACCTGGTCGTAAAAATGTTTTATCGGCAGTAAATACGATAGTCATTGTAAACTAAGGGTATCTTCAGTTGTGGAGCATAATTATTCGCTACGATACTGTTGTAGGAAATAATGTTTGCAAGATTAAGTTCATCACCATCATTATCAATATGATTGGCACCGGTGTGATAATTATTTAGGATATTGAAGTGTATTTTGTTTGTGTATTCTTATTCATTAAAGTAATAAGGCGCTTAAGTATTATTTCGCGACGAAAATAGATATCTCGTTATCCATTGTGTTATCTGTTTCTGTTAAAGGTTAAACTATTGAAATAGCTTCCTATTCGCTTATAATATCTGCTTATCGTCCTGTAAAGTTTTGGGTGGTAGTTCAGTTAACTGACTTACTGTTTCGCCGGACTGTATCTTGTTTGATTTCCCTATGAAGGACATATACTTCCTATATAATGTATCTATCAGTCAGTAAAATATGTATCTGTAATTAATTCAATTTCTTAACGTCTATTCCTTTCTGATAATTTCTTATTTTGTCCAAACTCTATATAGCCAAATTGCACCTTTCCCAAGGATTAGTGATAGATCCTCTTCAGGTCTTGTAGAATGGGGAACAAAAGATGAAGCCGTTACTGCCCTTGCTTTGTGCAACCACCAAGCTATTCCAAACACCGAAGGTCGTTATCCATTTCTTCTTAAACTGTCATTTTCAAGCTCTCCTGTCAATGATCGAGCATTTTCAGGTTCGAAGAAGATTGGCTCATCAAATATTGGAAAGTCAGCAGCATCCGTAGACTCTAGCGAGTATGAATAGTTAATGAATAGGTTAGTTAGTACTTGTTTGAATTTGTTCAAGTTTATGGTTTTTTATCCATTTCTTTTTGTTTGCTGTGTCATCTATCTCACCGCTTTCCCTGCGTATATAATACAGGTTTGATATACTCTTAAAATCATGTTATTATTCTCTTCGTAACATCTTTTACTAACGTGGCTCATATTTTTATTTATTTAAAATGTTTTGGTCTGACTGTTCAGCTACTTTTCTACTGTAATTCAAAAATTATCCTTCACATCGTCTTTTTACACAATGCATTTGTTTTTGGAAGTGCATTATGATCATGTATCTTTTGTAGCGACCCATTTTTCTGAGTTTTATAAATTACACAAGGTCTCTTAAGTATACCCACATAAACTTAAGTGTCGATGTTTTTTTGTTAATAATTTCAGGTATTTTGTTTCAAGAAGCTTCAAAAACAGTCCTACCTCTTTTTGTGACCATTCTCACAAAGCTGCTCGCCATCATAATTTTCTAATCGAAGTTAGTTTATGAATGATGCTACAGGAAAACTGTTTGTGCGTGGATCACGTTAGAGTCGTCAATTGAACATATAGTTTAATAAGTCTACTTGATTTTCGTAGTTTAAGTCACAAGTAGACAATGATAGTTTTTCTTGACTTAAAGTCAGCATTTGACTTTGTATACCGAAAAGTTATGTGGCAGCGTATATCATTGAAAGGTGTACCTCAGAAGTACATAAACCCTGTGAAGGCTCTTTACTCGAACACTACCAGTCCAGTCACAGTTTATGACGAACTATTATCTGATTTTGCAACCGCAAGTGGTGTCCGTCTAGGTTGTCCACTATCTCCATTTCTGTTTTATTTCATCATAGATATACTGCTGAAAATAACGTCCTCAGCGACCGAATTTTCACGAATTGACTTCCGTCCAGAAGGTCCACTTATCGACTTGGAATATGCAGATGACATAGTTCTGTTTGGTGAAGACGTTGATAAAATGCACAGTCTTTTGGTAGCACTGAGCAACAGTGCCGGCGTGTTTGGAATTCATTTCTCCCTTTCTAAATGCAAATTGTCGCTTCAGGACTGGTCTGCGTCGACACCTGAACTAAGGATAGGGAGTGAAGTAGTCGAACGCGTTGACAACTTCACTTATCTTGGAAGTCTGATCAGCCCTAATGGGTTGGTGTATGATGAAATCTCAGCACAGATTCAAAAAGCTCGCTTGGCTTTTGCCAACTTACGTCACCTATGGCAAAGACGAGATATCCGTCTATCAATTATGGGACGAGTTTACTGGGCGGCAGTTCGTTCCGTTCTACTCTATGGCTGTGAAACGTGACCATTAAGAGTAGAAAATACTCGTAAGTTACTATTATTTGACCACAGGTGCCTTAGAAATATTGCTCGCATCTGCTGAGATCACCGGGTAAGTAATAGTGAGGTTAGATTCAGGGCATTAGGGAATGATGGTGAGTCAGTTGATGAGGTCGTGAATCTACATCGACTGAGATGGTTGAGCCACGTGCTGCGCATGCCTGAACACCGATTACCACGACGCGCAATGCTCACTGGTTTTAGGGATAATTGGAAGAAAGTTAGGGCGGCCAAACCAAAACGTGGCATCAGTGCTTGAAGTCACTAACTTCTGGTCTTAGTTATGTTGCTAGATGCAGACCATTTGGTTGGGGTGCGCGTGACTATCGTAACCAATGGTTGGAGATTCGTAGTGACATGGCTCAGAATCGATCACAATGGTGTAGGTGCATACACTTTCTGTCTTCCCTTAAACTAAGTGATTAAAATCGCTTCATATCTTTCTTTCTAGCAGCTAATTCTTTCCTCCTGTATTATGTCCTTATACACAATCTTTCTTTTATATACTACTACCTTTGATTTGACTACTTCTATGAATCCGGTGTTAATCTTGTTGTGCTAATGTGGTATGGAAACTTGGACCGATGCATTTACGTGTCTGGTCCTACGTTGCATCTGACTGACTGACCTAGTTGCGTGAACAACGATTATTTTATGCATTCCATGATGAAAACATATGGTAGATATGTTATTGATGTTATTGTCGCCGCAAACACCCTTGCCGTCAACTAATCCTTGTTATGGTTATACCACATAAGGTGTTTAATTTTAGCTTAACATAGACATTGTCAATAAAATCCATATTGTGGGAGGAAGTCGTTGTTACCACTTCCCACCATTAATTGTGTTGGTATTTTCATTACTGCACATTGTTTTCGTCCGCAAGTATCCTGGACGACTGTGTGTGTCCTGATTCTTTCCATCTAGTCGCTGGTTTGTTTGTGGGATGTATTAAAATTAATATTATGTACACCAACACAAAACAGACTTCCTTGTCACCGAATATCTGCCTACAGTACTTGTTAAATAAGTAATCTCAGTCTATCACAATTTGGCTAAGCGAATACTTGTAGTTAAGCATTATCAAACTGCATCTTGAATTAAGGAAGTTAGAGGAAACCGACAGTAGCATCATCTCATAGAGTTGATAGCTACTGTCACTTCTTGAGAGCAGGCAATAAATCAACATCCATTGGACAGGCAAGCATAAGGAAAGAACATAATGATCTGAGAAGTCATTGAATCCACGTGGCAGTATGTTTTACTTGCTATGTAGTGGGAATGACGTTAGACACCTACAATACCGAACGAATTACTACCCATGTATATTTGTACCTCAACAAGTGTGTAACGAAAGTACCTCATTAAGTACAAGGTGGATTCGTTACTAATGTTCACTACATTCAAAGGAGCTATTTCCCGGCAGGCAAATCATCCAGTGCTCTGACGTCTTTTCGAATAGTACAATCATCTCTGCGATTTTAGGTCCCTGGTTTTCAGCGATGTCGGAATAAGATAATTACTACTAAGAACAAGCTGGACTGCTAGGAACCACTTCTCATTGTTCATATATCCAGATAATTAGTCGGAGTACAAATTGAAAAGTCCTCAGAGCTTTAATCGCTTACAGTTCAGTCATAACGTTTTCCAGTCAGATATCACTTTCTCATGACTAACTGAACAATTAAAGATAAATTATCAAATAGATTAAAAAATAAGTACTATTAAAATAGTTGATTAGAGTCCACCTAAGCTCAATTCTTCTTACATAAGCTAACATATGAAAAAGTGTGCGAGAGTCCTCAATATACCATGTTTAAGTCATGTATAGGATCATCACCTTCCCACACTAACGAAGTGACGACGTTGCATTTCAAGTTTCAGGCACACGGTATACAATATATGTCTGCTCCACCCTATCCCAATACCTGGCGAGCTAATATTCTGGCAATCAGGGACTGTTCTATCTTGAGTGAATGGTCAGTCGATGGGGAAGGATCGATGAAAGACAAAAGGAACCAGTTTAAGGCTACATTCTAGTCCGTAACATGTCTCAATCACTCGCCAAACTCCCTGGAGATCGGAAAGCTGTTGTGGTTAATTATTAATAATAATAAAAATAATTTATTCTCAAATAACATTTTGTTACATGAGGCATGCCAGTTTACAGGCAAGATCAAATTGTTACAAATGATACAATTTCCAACTGTAGTAAATTACTCAGCTGGGTCGATAATTTATAAGATATGAATGTAGAATGGTTTTAGTCAGTATCACAGACACTTAGGTCTGTAGTTTTAATTCATTTTGTATATCAATAGTAACTCTGACTATTGTTATATCTTGAATAAGCTCTTTTGCTGGAATCCACCATACTCTTTTAATACTACTAACCAAAGCCATGAATATGAGGTATGAGGAGAATGTAAGATATTGTTTCACTTTTCTCAACACACACTTTATTCTCGCTATCAGCGTTCATCGGACGAGTACGTGAGGTGACGATCGCTAGTCATCAGATATGGAGATGGTATCAGGCTTGAAAATTTCATTGAATTTCTCTTTCGTTCTAGCATTAAACTAAGGATCGATATGTCTCGACTGTTTAAAATGGTTGGTTTCTGAGTAATAATAACAATATTATTAATAAAAGTTTGTTCTCGAGTAATTGTCTGTTAAACGAAACAGGGCAGTTTGCAGACAAGATTGAAGTATTACGAATGCATATATCTTACAAGATATATTCATAATAGAACTAGGGAACAAAATTTTCTCATATTAGAATATACTTGGGGTTAGTTAACTAGAATGTACAATAAGAGAGCTGACTCGCCTTGTGTGTATACTACTTATGTTGGCAGATACAAGTAGCATGTTAGTTGAAGACCTGAGAGCAGAAGGCCATGAAGTTCCACATGAAGAAAACAGTAACGGGATTAGGATGGAGTTGTGAATCAGAAGAATCACACAGAATGTGAAGGACATATGATGGAAATTTGCAAATGAAGTACTCAACGTATGGTTCTTATAGTTGGCCACAAGATTCTGTAATTTTGTTTTCAAACACATTGGTTGTCACCACTTTTGTCTTCATTCATAACAGTCTTATGGATGCTGCGTTGTGAAGGACAATTGATGGTCGAGAAATAGTGCGATCCTGGTTCAGAAATGTCTACAGTGAGAAACATTGTGATAAACGCCTAGAAGTTCAGTCGAAACGCCCGTTTTAACATATTGCCTAGTAATTCATGATAGTAATTCTCAGATAACAGATATAACACGATTATAGTTGGATCGGAAAGATGCTATGGTCAATCCTATATTTAAAGATGTTCAGAGACAGATCGCATCTGATTATCGACCTGTCAGTCTAACCGCCATAGTCGTTAGGTTACTTGAAGAGATAATTCGGGTTAAGTTACAAAATCATATAGGTTCGTACAATCTGCTAACTCCCGAGCAACACGGGTTCGGGAACAAGCATTCATACATGACTAACTTACTTATTGCGAGAGAGGATTAAACAGAAGCTCTAGATAACGGTTTGTCTATTGATTTGATATCCGTAGACTTTGGCAAAGCATTTAATAATAATAATAATTTATTCTCAAATAACATTTTGTTACATGAGGCATA